CATAGGGCAACAGAGCCCGTTGCAGTCTGCTGGATCATCACACATCCACACGTCAGCCTTCATGCTGCCTTCAAGCGCTTCATGAAATGCTTTGGCAGGCCATCCAGCGGCACCGGGCACTCAAACTTCCTGCACGCGTCCAAGCGAAGTGGGAAAATGTATGCCGGAGTATCTGTGTATCAGCATCCCTTCACGGCTGTTGAAGGAGCTGCTCGCTGTTTTGTGGGATAGCCTCTAATTTCTGAACTCCCTAAACCCTAAACCCTCAACCCCTAAACCCTACTACCCTAAACCCAAAACTTCGGGTGATGTGCATAGACAATCGCCTTAAAGCTTCCAGAAGTTTGCTGCAGCAGCGTCGCCAGACCTCTGCCTGAGGCCCCTCGCCAAAGCCTAAATTAGACACAAAAAGGATACTCTAAGTCCCTATAATTCCTAATAATCCCTAATGCCAACACTGATATTACCAATAAGAAGAAGAAGAATAGTAATAATAATAATAAAGAAAATTATAATTATAGTTGTAGTTATAATTATATTTATAGTAATTTTAATAATGTTAGGGTCTATAGAGCAAAGCCCAAGGCCGAAGTCAATGCTCGATCCGTTGAGAACGTCTCTTGGTTGCAGTCGGTAGACCACAGAGTCTGCCGAAGCCAACACGGGGATCTAAAGCCGTGCGCACGATCTGGGGGCTTGGGCCTTTTTTGCAGAGCCCTTTCTGAGGTTTGGGCCTTTTTGCAAAGCCCTTTTTGGCGTTTGGGCCTTTTTGCAGAGCTCGTTTAGGAGACAAAGGCGATGTCTGGGAAGGACTTGCGGCCCAAAGGACTTCGGCTTGACGATTATTCAAAAGCAAGGATTTGGGGCTTCAGGCTTCAGGATGCTTTTGGTGTTTACAGGGTTTTAATGAAGTGGTTCTGCTCGCCTGCCATGGTCAAAGAGGAGACGGATGAGCAGGCTGAGTCCAGCCGAACGGCCAAGAGGCCGTGCATCAGCCAGGACAACCCGGAGATCTCACGTCCATGCTTCCAGTCGCGACTGACGGAGTGGAGCGATCAATGCCTTAGGTTTCAAGCCTCTGGTGAGAAGTGGGTGCCCACAAAGCGGAGGACGGGATGCTTCAGCTCTCGCCCACCGGAGCTGCCTCCGCCATTCGGTGCCGTGAGGTACCCGAGTCTGTGGGCTCCGTCACTGAGTGTGACGAGAAGCCTTCAGAGGCGGTGGTCCAGCGCCCCACCAAGAAAAGAGCCCATGGTGGCAAGGCCAAGAAGCTCCGGCAGAAACCCGTTGGAGCCAAACCTCTCGGCTCCGCCGTGTCGGGCGTCTCTTATGACAAACAGTCTCGGAAGTGGCGCGTTCGTAAGTGGGATCCCGCCATCAAGAAAAGCGTATTCAGGGGCAGCTTCGCACTGAAGAAGGAGGCCGAGGCCAAGGCCCGGGAGCTGGGCAACAAGATCAGGCGAAGGCCCAAACTTTCCGGCTCCACTGTGGCGGGTGTCTATTATGAAAAAAAACGAAATCACACAAAAAAATGGTATGTTCAACGCTGGGACCCCGCCATCAAGAAATACGTATTCGGGGGCTGCTTCGCGGTGATGGAGGAGGCCGAGGCCAAGGCCCGGGAGCTGGCCTTGAAAATTCGGGGTGCAGGCAGAGAGCTCGGGTGCCGTGCAAAAGAGGTTTCGGTGGAGAAGGCCGAGAAGAAGGCCGTGGCCGGGCCCTTGCAGCAGAGAAAAAAGGCAAGCTGTGTGCTGGTAAGGGTAGCTACTGGGCTGCTAGCTACATGTATCACAGTACCACGGGTCTTTAGGGGTTCAGGGGTTGCAGGGTTTGGTAATGTAGAGGCGTTGCAAGGTGTTGAGGCCTTGGGAAACCTTTAGGGTTCAGGATTTAGTGCATTTGGAATTTGGGGTTCTAGCCGGCTAGTTCATCAAGGAGTACAGGTCAGGTCAGCGAAAGTCTGCTTTTGAAGATTAAATTCGAAACCCGCTCAAAACCCTTTCTGCCCTAAATCCTCTACCCCAAACCCTAAAACNNCCAAAGCCCTAGACCCCAAGCCCTAACAAAAGCTGACAAGGTCTTCGCTCTTGGGGATCAGTCTGAGCCGCTGCCAGAGATCATGAGCACCGTCTTCGAGCTTGTGGTGAAGGACACAACTTAGGCCTCAGGGTTTACGGTTTCGGGTGTAATACTTTAGGGTTGTGGGTTTAGGGTGGAGGGCTTAGTGTTTCAGGAGCTGAAGTTAGGATCTAACTAAGTGCTGAGGACTCCGAGGCTGAACGGAAACAGGCAATTGGACTTGGAATTCAGGGTTTCAGAGGCCGGGGGTTTTTGAGATGTTGTTGTAGTGTTTGGTGATTTGGGAGAGTGATTGTAATGGTCGAAGACCCAGGCTCGCTGTAAATCCCTGCAAATCCCAACCTCCACACTGGACTCTCAACCCTAACCCCTAACCCCTAAA